GCTTACCAAATAAATTTACTTTGAAATGTAGATGCTAAAGAACATTAGTAAAAAAAAGTGTGAGTACCGGTCCGTCAGGTCTTGAAATTAGACGAATGTTTTAGAGAATTTTATGTAGTTTTCGAATATATAATTTGATCTTTGCGCGCGACTTTGCAAATATATGTAATTTATGATTTTCTTAATTTTTGATTTTCAGCTTCTTTTTGCATAATTTCGTGGAAAGAATTTTTCGAACAATGACAAAATCTCACCAAACATTAGAAAAAAAGCGGATATTTACACCTAAGTCATTTTATAGTATAACCTTTGTTTTCTGAGAGTGGAAAGCAGAAAACAAAAATTAACCAAAATTCCATCACAATTAATGATGTGAGTTTTGGACGTTATTGTGATCCAATCTTCCCCATCTTTTATATTTGAGTTTTTCTAATAAAATAAAGGCTACAAACTAAATTTCATCGAAATCGGCTGACATTTAGTGTTCCCGCCCACAAGAGTGGAGGGCGTGGCAATTATTCCATCTTTATTCTATTCTAAGTAAAACTAAAGCACATGTCAAGTTTCAGTGAAATCGGAGCAGGTGTACTATTATTTCCACCTGCCTCCATATAGTCGAAACACTGTGCGACATACGGAGAAAATGGAGTCGCTCGGCAATATTCAGCAACTCTTACGAATTTGTTGCAAAACGGTCAAGAGTGATTGAAATGAAAGTGCCTGTATGTAGAACATATATTAATTTGTGTCTTTATAATGAAAAGACTTGAAGTACCTTATTTTTAAGAAGTATTTATGATTTTTATAACCTTGTGCACTTGTGCACAAGGGTATTATAACATTGTTCCCATTACGGTTGTTTGTAACAGCCAAAACGAATCGAGATAGATATAGACAAATGTATACATAAATGCTGTTGAAGCCAAAAGCCTTCAATAGTTGGGAACCACTGGTAAGTTTTCTGCACCGCTGTTCGCTGCAAAGCTACACCGCTGCGGGAAAACCACCGGTGGGTTTCTTTCGAAGTTGAAGATTATTTAATGCCATATTCGGCTTGAACTGGGGCTTGTTTGATGACAGCAGCCAGACCAACAG